TTAATTAAAAATAATCATCTATAGTCGTATTTTTATTAATTTAAAATTTAATTTACGTAAATAAGAACGGACTATGTGAGTATAATTAAATAAATAAATAAATAATATATATATATATATATATATATATATAAAATTAAGAATAATTAAATGAATATATTGTGATTTTTTTCAATAGTATTATCAAATAATCAATAGAAAATTATTAAATGCTACTGATATCATACATAAAAATCGGTGAAAAATTATGTACGTTTATATAAAACAATATGTCAATTATGTACATATGTTTCATTTTTTTATGAACATGTATTAAACAAGTCTGTTATATCTTCATAACATTTAATTTTCTTTATTTCGTCATTAAAAATATTAGATACTATATAATTGAAGTTAAATAGTTAGATATGAATATAAATTAGTAATTTGTGAAAATATCATATATTTTTTGATATTTTTTTGATCATCTGTAACATAATTTTTGATTATATTATTGATATATAATAAACTTGACTTCATCTTGTTACTTGGCATATGTCCAATATTGATCAATATTTTTTGCAAGATAATTTTTAATCATTGGCTTAACATAATTAAATATATAATATAATATTTGATTAATTATTGACTATTGATTAATCAGTGTGATATCGTCACATCAGTCTATTATTATTTCTGATTATCGGGTCAACATATGAATGTTAGGTAATCAATGTAAGGATTCAATATAAGATTAATATTTTCACACTGCTCAGAATCGCAACAAGTTCTGGCTAGTGTTGTGAAGGAGAGAAAAAACTTAGGAAAGAACGGGAGAGAAAAAACATTTTTCCTTGGGGAAAAAATCCGTAATGAGAAAAAACGTTTTTCTCTAGAATTGTACTACTTATATATATTGACAATATTTCTAAAAAAATAAATTTATTTTAAGAGAAATTTTAAATATATATTGAAGATGTTGATGAGTTTCTTCTCTCTCTCTCTTTCTCTCTTCATAATTAGATTAAAAACAATACAATACTTTTGTTAACAAATAAACAGCCAAGCATTACTTCTCTATTGTTGAAAGACATTCTACATAGAAAAATATATATTAAGGAAATCTTTTTATGACTTTTTATTGATACCTTTAATGATTCAACCTCAGTGATCTTGACTTTTTAGAATGCAAAAAATCTGGTCTTTCCTTTGTACGTGATACTTTATTAAGTTTATGATTTTAATTTTCCAAAATTTAATAATGTTCTGTTGTCAAAATAGTTTATTTATTATTTTATTTATTATATTAAAGTAATTTATTTTATATAATTCATCTATACATATATATAGTTTATAATGTCTTAATATATAATATTTACCAAAGAAAATTTATATTAAGAAAAAATATAGAAAAATTTTACATTTTACATTTTACATTTTGTTTTTCATTCATTTATACAAATATATGTTTCATATTTAAAGAAATGTATTTTTTTAGATAATGATGAAAATAAGAAACAGTATATTTCAAAGATATAATTTCAAGTTTTTCTAAAATAAAATTTATAAAATAGATTCTAAAAACAAGTTTTTCAAAGATATTATTACATCAATTTTATGTGAATAATTTTAAATAAAAGATTTCAAAAATTTAGAACAAAAGAAAGTGAAAAACATTCTTTTACTCTAAAACGTTCTTTCCCAATGCCGAGTACTTTCCTGGGAAAGAAAACCCGAGAATGAGTTTTTTTCCAATCAATTTAAATTTGCCGGAAAAATAACAATTCTGACGAAAATTGCGAATGTAATTATACCTTGTACAACTAATGATCATATAGCAAGTTAAGCAAGTTTTACAAGATCTTTTCACAATTTTTCAACATTTCGATTTTCATTTCGATTTTCAATATTTTTTTATTATTGCCCGAAACAAAAATTATTTTCAAAAGATAATTTTCAAAGATAAATGCCAATTTAGAGTCGACATTAATTGTTAATGTGTAATTACAAACGTGTATTAAATGAAATATATAATAAAAATTATTTTAATATAATAAACTCTGTTTTTCAATTATTGTAATAAATTAGAATTTTTGTCGTAGATTTATTTTAAATTTTTTGGCAGATATTAAAAGATCCGCGATCATACATGAAATACGTTCGAAACATAGACTGTAAGACGAGAATTGAGTCTTACTTTCGAGCGTATTCTAACGATTTCGCGAGAATATCTCAAGTGTTATTAAAATGGTGTCGCGAACAAATACGATACGTCGCCGAAAAAATTCCATTTCTCGTTTACACCCGGGCGAGGACCTCTTCAAAGTGACTTTTAATGTGAATACACGTCGGATTAACAGGAAGAATGCTTGTAGGTCGGCGATTTTAACGATTACAGATGATGATGGCAGATGGATGCCACGCAAAGTTCTCCGAATCCTGCAAGGACCGATGTCAAGTCGACCTCGTTTTCTTTCCACGGGACGACTAAGAGGTTTCAGACTCTTTCTTTTTTTTTTTATAAATTCTAAGACTCTACCGAACGGCAGATATATCTTTTAGATGTTTAGTAGGTTAGTCGGTCCACGGCAAATCTTCATTCGTTAAAGGAACCGTTACGTCCTACAACGACTGCTATCATGCCCTTTCATTAAAACTGTTCGCTCCATTGTTATTCTCTTGACAGCTTGTATTTGTCACGTGCATACGTAAACAAAAATTTATACATACCTTTGAAAATTATTTAAACTACGAACTGGACACAATTGATAACAATAAACTTCTTTATATGATTTTAACAGTATTTACTATGAGTAAGATTTATTATTTTGTTTATTGAAATAAATAATATAATTGAGTTAAGTAAGATATCCTATATAATTGCAATAAAAAATTTTTTAATTCCAAATGTCTCCAAATGTTAGATTTTTCTGTTTATTCTTCGTTTCGATTTATACTGTCTATCTTACTTTTAATAATTTATCTTGTAAATTTTATAAGTTTTCTTTCTTATTTTGCCATTTTTTGTTTTGTTTCTATTATATTGCTTTATTATGGTCAGGTAATTGCTAATATATCTTTTTTTGCTCTTATATATAGGTGATGATCGAAAAAATTATATTACAATGTATAAAAATATAACTAAAAAAAAAATGACACGTTTATTTCCCGTCGTTTCTTTCTCTTGGAACGATGCGCGAATCTATTTTTATTTAATAAAGGAGAGAAGATTATATACTCACCATATCCTTGCATTATTCCATGTGTCAAGTAGAGTGGAGCCCTGCCGGCAAATACGTCCTTAGCTAAGGCCTGCCTTACCAGCTGCGGATCCGACAACAAGACCGTGTATATAGAACCCATTTGTAGCCCACAAATAGGACCATATTTTTTTTGTCAATTCTGTCAACGTTAGGTAAGGACGTTTGGCATCTATCCATGGTAGATAGCCGACTATTGGGATGCCAGATGGTCCCGGTGGAAGTCTTTGGAACGTCTTTCGATTTTTACGAAGAACATAGATAAGTAAAAGTATGAGCAATAAGCCGAAGAGATTAAGGGATATCATTATGATAGAGAGGAAGCACTTGAAACGCGATGTTGTGTGTAGAACCTGCAAATTAAAAATGATACTTTTAAATGCGACGATGCACTTATCATTTCTAGCAAAAAATCCAGATGGCCAAATGATGCTGGAAGATGTCATATTGACTTTATATTGATGGCATAGACGTCATATTGCCGTCAATATGCTGTCAAAATATTGTTTTTCGGTATCATTTGACTATCTGAGAAAAAATGTTGTAACATTTGATAAGATGATTAAATCATTTAACCAAAAAAAGAAGGAATCAGCTAAGATTATATGCAGTTGTATAAGTTGAAAAAAATCGATTTTTGAAAATATTTATTTTCGTAAATTATATCATCTAAAGAATATTTTCTGAAAGTAATTGAAGTGATTTGAAGTAATTTGAATTAAAATTTAGAGGTATACGAGTTTGAAAGATACGCTGCACAAAGTACTTAGCGCAGATAGCACGCTGTAACTGCCGAGACAAGGCAGGCCATTCTGTATAAAATTGAAATGTAAATTGATATTTTGTAAATTAATATTTTGGAGACAACTTTTGTAACAGAAGGTTTACTTTATAGACCTGGAATAGATGATTCTGTATAAGTTGAAAAATAGTAATTTTACTTACGTGAGAAATTTTAATTTAAAATTGCGTTTTTTTCGAAATCAAATTTTTTTCAAACATACGAATCGATGAACAAGATATCTTGGGAACCGTTACATCAATAAAATTTTGCAGACTTCTTTTACACATCAAATATTTGTCCTTGAACGATTGATTTTTTTTCTAATAAAATTTTTTAATTAACAAAAAACTTAGTCATATAAAAATCGTACTTTTTTATTAAACGGCTACTATTTTGTTCAAAATGAAATTAAAAAAAAAATCAATCGTTTAAGGACAAGCATATATATAGTAACAAAATCTTTTTGAATTTCTGATTTCATATGATCCAGTTTCGAGAAATTGTACTCACCGCTAAGCACTTTCAAGAAAACACTTTTCGCAAGAGTGCCTGTTATTCGTGTTTTTTAATATTATAAAAAAATTTGTATAAGTTTAATATTTTAAAAAAATTTGTATAAATTGTAAAATGTATGTATTTTTAAATACTATTTTACTTGCGAAAAAAATGAGATATTTCTAAAAAAAATTCTCAAAAATCTAATTTTTTTGAGCTATGCAACTGCATATAATATAATCCCTTAAGCGGCGAAGGGGAAAAGTAACTCGAAGATCAAAGTTTTATACGTTTTTTTATTAACATGCGGATAATCTTGCAAAACTAAACAATATTTATTTTTGTGTCTAAAACACTTCATATAAAATATAAAATAAAATTATATTTACATATTTATTTATATTTATATTTATTTATTTAATGTAATTAATTTCATAATAATCCTTTAACGTCAAACACATATAGTAAACGAGCTTATCACCTTCGAGCTTATCATAAATAAATGTAGCTGATGTTCCTGTGACGAAAAAGAATATATTTAATCTCAGATAGTAAAATATTAACAAAATTTTGCTGATTGGCAGCAAATTCGATCAAATTTTGATTGTAAATCCACAGTAATTTGTGTTCACTCAGGATTTGTCGACAAAGCTGACATATTGTACCGATAAATTGACCAGAAACTGAGCAAATTTTACCGCCAAATTGCCTGCAATAGATTCTGCTTGGTTTCTGTCGCCAATCTACTCATATTGCGGATCATATTGCTTGTCACTAAATTCTGTCACATTTCATTTTTGGCAATAGTTTGGTAACATAATCAGATATTGTATTAGATTTCTTGACATTAAAAACTTATAATAGGCTTTGTTCAAAATTTTCTTGTGCAAAATTTATTTGGTTATTTTTAGGATATTAAATCTCTTGATACATGATCCATTTAAATTTACTTGAATTGCATCAAAGATAAAAAAAAAGTACAGAACAAATAACAAAATCATATAAAAATCAAGATGACATCAAAATGACAAGAAAATGACTGCAAACACTCATTTTTTGATCATAACAAAATTGATAAAATTATGATTGCAAAACTTGCATACTACTTTAAATATTTTGCAATAATAAACATTTAAATTGAAGAAAAATCATTATGATAAAAAATATGATATTGTTTTATCATTTTGAGCATAATATTCTGGAAAGACTCATATTCTTTTCAAATAAATGATTCGTAACATATCGTAACATATGTTTAAGATGCTTTTCAGGTTTCCACAGTTATTATTTTCAAAAAAGTTAATATTTTTACGGGTATTATCC